TCTGGTTTTATGATCACATCTCTATTTGAAACAGAGAAAATCTGAGTGCATTTTCTCATTATCCCCATCCACTGTATTTTTGCATAAATAAATAAATCTACACAACATTAGTAAACATGACTCAGAAAATATTCACACTACCATGCAGCTCTGACACATGGAAATCTTCGCAGAACATCCATGTTCCTGGGTCTCGGTGAACCTTTGCAGGTCTCACTGGGATCCGTTTAAACGACCGAACCCGTGGGACGAAAAAGCAGTTTTTATGTTTTTACCAGAAACATGGAAGTCTTTGATCCGCGTGCTTTCAAAGCCTGACTCACACGGCTCGTTGTCTGCATCTTGGCGAAGGCCTGAGGAGCGCTGCCAAACACACAGGCCACTGAACTGCCGTGGGATTTGAATAAATGTTTCTGGAATCATTGCTTCCTTGTGTCCTTGTTAAGTTAATTGAAAGGAGATGATACAGTAGCTCTGCTTGTTTTGGATGGATTGATGCTGAGAAACATATGTAAAGATAGCCGCCACCTGTCACTCAAAGCGGCCATGCCCTTAATTATACATCACTTTAAGCTTTGATATCATTTAAACGGGTGAGTTACATAAAAATTCACCCCCTGTACAGTTGGCATGAGTTAGAAATTCAGCTATAAGGACCAAAACTGTTTTTGTACCAGGCTGTAAACAGGTTTATTTCTGTTGTAAAGTTGGGCATTTTAATATGGGGCCTTATGGAGATTGACTCACTTCTGTTGCCAGCCTAGAGTGGCCGTTTGAGGAACTGCAGTTCTTGGCTCTTCACTTGCATCCTGGGAGGTTGCAGATTAGAAGTTAGCTTGCTATCAAGAAGAAAGAAAGAAATACATTTGTGGAGCTGTTGTAAGCATATTTTTGTTCTTCTCTTTGGTGGAGGCTAGCTGTGTCCCAGCTTTCTGTGGATCTACCTCTCTACTGAACACACAGAGTTCAAACTAACCTGGATCTTCTCATTTTACTCCCAGCATGACAGCAAACAAGCATGATAGCAACAATGTTGGAATATCATGGTATCAATCTGTCCTCACATCATTTGGTTACCAAATGGTGATTTAAACAAGCTTGGAACTCCATGTTTGAGTGAGTTTTAATGGTTTAAAAAGCTAATATTTTACATTTATTTAAGCACATTACAACAAATACATTGCAAAGGGTTAAAAGATTTGCGTAAAATGTAATGATGACCCCCAGTTGGACTAAAACAACCAGTTCTGTTTGTGGGACCTCCCCTTAGTCAGTAATCAGGATAACAGATGCTGGAAAACAAAGGCTTTCTTTAAAGCAGTATGAAATGCTGAAGAAAAGGAGGTTGACGTGTGATACATTATTGAGCAAAGTGCAAGAGATTCTTCTTAACTTTTCAGATGTAAGAGCCGTGGCTTTCAAGAGTTACACCAGTCTGAATTTAAAACACTGCGGAGTCGTTTTATGTCACCCTGTCCCCTCCTTTGATGCCAACCGAGACCTAGGCCAGTTGTGCTGATTCGCAGCACACAGGAAGAAAGTAAGACTCGCAATACTTTCTCTTGTATAATCACTTAAACAAAATGCATAGATCTGCACCAGATGGGAACAGAGATTCAGCCTCCCATCTGCCCTCGTCATTAGCCCGCTGAGCTAATTACACACTGTAGACTGCATTCAGCGTAACAGTACACAGAGGTGACACAAGAGCCTGGTAATTTTCACAAGTTCAAAGCAGTTCAAACCGACACAGCTCTCACTGTTTTCTCCTCTGGCAAATAAACTGTGAGGAAAAAAGACACCTACAAAGGTCTCTGATATTCTGTTTATTGCTGTATTTGTTTGTTCGGAGCTTATACACAGTGATAGTACGCATAGGAACACCGATAGGGTGGGAATTGCATAAAATCTCTACATAAACAGAGATGTGTTCTGTCTGTTTGTACTCTCAGCAAGTGATTCTATGCAACACACAAAGTATGATATAATAATAATATACAAAATGAGATACAGCCTGGGATGCACAATAATGTCCCATATTCTTCTCTGAGTTTTACCATTTACTTAACACTTTTCTTTCAGTCATTATAAAAGTAGTAAACCTTACCTTGATATTTTATAGTATTTCATTTTGAACTGGCACCCTCAACCAAACCTATCAAGACAGCCATGATTATAAATTTACCAATATGTACTTTTAAAGAAATAGACTCCTTTAGCTGTCATTTCAATCAAAATCTTCTTAGTTTTTTAATATGGGTGAGATGGGCGAAGTGACAGTTAACTGTTGCTTACACTAATACAAATAATACTTATTTTAATGCATTTGTAATGAATGCTAGTGGCACTGCGGTGGTGTTTTGTTTAATAGCTGTATAATGATTGCATTATGTGCTAGAAAGCCTGGAAGGCAACTAAACTGTAGCTGATGGTTGATGAGGTCTGTCCGATAACAATCTATATCATGCAAAGAAAATTACACTCACAAAATGCAGCTTCAGTTTGAGTGTAATAACTTTAGAACTGTCTGTCTGAAGTTCAAAATAAGGTCCGAAACCTTGATGCAGTGTCAGGATGTTTGTGATATCTTGAGGTCAGAGGTCAAGGGATCCCTTTGAAAATGACGGCAGCAGTTTTTCTTTCACCAGAATTTAGCCCCTTTCCCGACATGCTAGCACGACATGGTCGGTGCCAAGTTCAAATAAGGTCTGTATCACTTCAAAGACCTTGCTGCACTATGAGGATGTTTGCTCCTACACTGTGTTTCTCTTTCAGCTACGCTTCCAGCATCCTTGTAATTACTGCTCATTAAAAATACAGCAGTTATAGCTGGTGTACCCAAGGTGCCTGCAGCCACAGTCACAAAACACAGCGTTGTGATGGATATCCTGTCAGTGGCGGACTGGCATTTGTTCTCAATCAGAATAGCAATGACAGACCAAGCTTAAATGAAAGCAATGGAAACTGCAAAACAACCACAGTGTGCTAACAGAACGAAGGTATGGTTTCTTGGTTTCTGTGTGTGCTGCAAACAGGACCGTTGGAGCAGTGAGATTTACGATGCAAGTGTATTATGTTAGCACACCAGGGAGACATCGGATTTGTTTAAATCCCTTACTCTTCTGTCTCTGGAAAAAGTCACGATTAAACGCAGTGAGGAGATGAAGGAAGTGAGTCAGAGAAGTGAACTCATGACAGGCAGTTGAAAAGTTCAGATGTTGGTGCAGAAGGCGAACGAGCATCAGATGTATTTAGTATTCAACAACAACAAGAGCTGTAAGTTCCTCATGGGAGGCGTATTTGTAAAGTCCTCATGTGAGCAACTGTTTTATCTTTGAGGTTCTCACATTTTATGATTCAGTACAGAATCAAGTTCATTGCAGAAATATGCTCATAGGTACAAGAAATGGACTTCACTCCATCTTAAACAAACAGCTAAATAAAATAAAGAAAAACAAGCATACAGATACAGTAATATACAACAAGTAGGTTTAGAATAGAGGGCTGGATTTATATTCTATGGAAACAAAATGCATTATCACCAGAATAAATTGGGGCTAAAAGTTTTGTCTCTAAGGTTTCTGAGTTCAATTATATCTTCTTTCTACAGTAAATAACTCAGGCCGTTTTTGTCAAATTATTTAACTAATTATGTAATCATGTTTACATCCTTTCTTTCACTTTGTGACATTATAACATACAGGTTTGCAGTGAAAAGATAGAAAAAGAAATAGAGGAAAAAAATACACTGTATGACCCAACATCGGAAACTGCAAGCTTACCAATCACACACCCTCTTTCCACCAATGCAAACCTAAAGCTATTGTAACTGGGCTGGTGCTAATGCTGTTCAAGATTTGCCTCTGAACCAGCCGGCTCGGAACTGCTTTGGTGGAAAAGGTGTAACTCCACATATCGGCCTCCGTAACACACACAAATATAAATCCACTTTTACTGAGACTCGGTGGCGCTTTAACACAACAACCTCAACCTCACGTTTCTGGTGCTTTATACGTCTCCTAGTGCAGGTACAGTAGTGGAACAAAGAATCCCCTGCCTTTCAAAAGCCAGAGGCTGATGAGAGCTCGTTCGAACTGAAATGACAGAAAGGGAGCAGTCAGATACACAAACGCAGAGAATAGAAGATAGGCAGAGAAAGAGCTTTTCACCAGCACTCCTTAATAAATGGAGGAGGCAGATCAAGGCTGGCTCTGCTATCTTGATGAACTTGCACTGTAGCGAGCCTGCCAGGGACAATAACGTGGTATCTCTCGCCTCTCAAGAGCGGGCGAGATAGAAAGATCAGGGTGAGATAGTTACCCATAAGTCACGTTTTGTTCCCTGCCTCTCATTTCCATCTTAGTGCTCCTCTACTGTGTTTTGCCGAAGGTTGTTTCAAGGTAACTAGCTGCTGAATGTTGTGTAGTGAGTCAGGGAAGGTTCAAGCATAAACCTATACAAGCTTCACAAACTGTTCATAAGCGTTATTCAAAGGCCTGAAATGAATGAATACAAGAGGAGGTTGTGCTGGTTGTAAAAAACCCTTTTTACACATGGAACCTGCCATATTGTTGGATATTAATCTCTATGTATGGCAGTGGCTTTGTGTGTAAGTATTATACACATGATACAACCTTTACAGTTACAATGAGGCTTTTTTTATTCCGTAGGGAAGGTTTCCCTTGTAGCATTCACCCAATTCTTTTCTCATCTGTATCACTGTATTGACAGAGCTCTATGTTAGGAATTTCTGTTGACTACACTCAGCCCAACTCGTGTCCAGTTGCTATTTTGCTTCTACGATTTTACCTATTTATATCCCCTCCAGACATATACTTAATATATACATAAGATGTAATGTAATAATACAAACAGTCTGCTAATGTCTGATATAAATTAACATTAAGGCTTAAGCGCAGTGAAATTAAAAGTAACCAACACAATAGTCCAGCCATACACTAAAGTAAGAGAAGAGAGAGAAAAACAGACACAAACAGAATTCAGATTTTTATTCACAAAAATATGTCATCAGTTTCCAAAAATTACCAGGTTGAGGCCGCTATATATCTTATTTGAAGTGCTGGAACAGAGCGTCTACAGTGTGTGTGGGTGTGGGAGAGGTACAAAGTATGCAGGAGGTTGGATACTTTTCATTTCTGCTTGAACTCTGTGTCATTGTACCATTATGAAGTCTTTCCTTTAAGATTAACAGGGAAGAATTCACTGGAGCTCTGAGCAGAGGAATAAACAGTACACTGTTCGCCACCTGTTGAAACACTGCCTGATTGTGAGAGAGAATCAGGATGAGGATATGTACTGAGGCCAGATTATATCATTGATTTATTAGGCTAAAACACCCTCACCCCCTTATCATTTATTAGAATTACAGTGATATATTCTATTTATATTAGGAGCTTTAATCATTCATATTACATCATATTTTATAACATTTTAATGTAAACGCTTAAATAACTGTCTGTCACAGAATTGTATATAATGAGTTAAAGTACCTTTTAAGTAACCTTTAAAGTTACTTTCCATCACTGATGTTTGATTGTAATTTTGGTCTCAGCTTGTGTAAAACCCACTGAGAGTTTCAAAGCAAACACAGATGGATGAGCGCCCTCTGCTGGCCAAAGTGCCACAGTTACACAAAGCTTCATTAATAACAACTGATGTATACAGCAGGATAGTGCAAAGTTCACATTACAAAACGTTATTTATTATTATTTTTTTGATTTTTCTGAGCTTTTGTCAGTACCCAGTGTATAATTCAGTGTGTGTCAAATTCACCATTGATTGTGACCCTTAACATTGACACACGGCTCTGACATCTTCATCCATTGCATTAGGTTCACCAAACATCCCCTGTCCTCCATATCCTGATATCTGTATCTATAATTTGGCTTTTGTCTCTGTAGTATCACTGCTCAGATGAGTTCTGAAAAACTCCTGGATCTTCTTCCACAGGTGGACTTCAGCTGCAGCGTGGGACCTTGGCTCACCCCCCCACAGGACTGGTTTACCCACAACCCCATGAAAACTGGAGGGGCAGTAGGGTCCGTAAGGCGGCTCCAGATAATGTCCAGCTTCAGGGTAACACGCACTCTCAAAGTTCTCCTTCCCATGTCGCTTCAGTCTCTCCACCATCATGTCTACGTAAGCCTTGCTGTCCCAGTTGAGGTCGTCCTCTGAGGCCACAAAGAGGAACTGTCCCTTGGCCTGTTCAATGGGGACCAGAGTGGCCTTGTTCTCCTCTGCCAGGGGATTATGGACCGCATACTTGCCCACCCAGGCCCCTGACGCAGTCTGAACCATCTTGCTGGAGTCAAACATTAACGGAGAGAGGATTTGACTCTTCTTATAGTAGAGAGGTAACACTACATTGGCACAGCAGCCATTGATCCACACTGTGGCCTCAACACCTGGCAGGAAGGAGGCCACTGAGAGAGCAAGATCTCCGCTTTTGGAAATGGATATTACACCAACTCCTTTACTGCCCACCTGTGGGAAAACATACAGATTAAAAGCAACAAAATCTTACCTATTCTTAGTGATGGCTCTTAGATGAACATAAATGGAACTACATATTTCAGCCACTATGTACAGAACAATACAAATGTAATGATTTTTTAACTTTAGCACCCCCAGTGATGGTATGAAAAATGTGGCAGACACACAAATTCAGAGTTTCAGAGGTTTGACTCGCCTTATCTTGTCTTTTTAAAAACTCTATCGCTTCCTCAAAGTAATCCAGGTGGAGCTCTGTGATGTTCCTCGGCATGTCATCGTGGCCGTACAGCGCGATAGTCAGAACCACAAAACCTCGACTGGCCAGCAGAGAGGCCCTTTTCTCCGACAACCCTCCACCAAAAGTGTACAGGTCCAACACAGCGGGGAACGGACCTCGTCCTGGACGCACGAGGACACAAAATGACACTTTTTTATGGCGTCAAAATGATGGAAATTATAGTAAAAGCAGCATATAACTACTACAAACACAGGCAGTACTTATGAGTAGGATGTATTCACTGTTGTTTCAGTCTCCTCGGGGGATTTGTTGATAATATACTGCAATATAAAACATTTTAACTGAAGGATTTAAAGCAGGACCAAGACATAGACCAACCTGGCGGAGTAAACAGAACCCCACGAATGTTCCCCTCTTTGACGGGGACCCTGGTGACCCCATCTCCAATCAGAAACCTCTCATTGGTCGCCTCTGCCAGCACTTTGCCCTCCTCCTCCTCCTCCTCCTTTATCTCATGCACAGAGAACTTCACCACGTGGGGGTTTAGTGAATTTGTCTTCATAAACCTTTTGTGCAAGGTGTCTGCGCTCATCGACCACAGCAGACCCATGGGTTCCACCCCAACGTAGCTGCCGCTGAGAGAGGGGTCTCTCCCCAGGTCGATCTCACCGCTGCCATCGGCCCTGTACGTGGCCTTAGAGCTGAACACCACTCCCTTCTCGTCGGTCGATCTGGCTCTCATGGAGACCAGCTGTCTCGACCTCAGCCCGGCGACCTTCACCTGAACAGGCTCGTCGAACAAGCACCTGGCGCCCGGCAGCAGCCTCAGTCTGACCTGGGAGGACATCGCTTCTGGAACTGAAGATCCTTTCTTCGGCAAGTTTCAAATTTGCTCTGTGAGAAAGTAAAATAAATAATGTTATTGACTAAGAAAGCAGTTTGTTCATGTGTATGTGTTAAATGCATCTAGATGTGGGAATATTCATTACATTTTTATCTTTTCTTGTGTTGCCCGCCTGTAAATCTGTAAACCTTTTGTCCTTGTTGTACTTTTATGACCCTGTAAAGGTTCATTGAATTGCCTTGCTGTATAAAACGTACTATACACATAAAGTTGCCTTGTTTGTGCATGTTCACTAATCTGTGTGGTACAAATTTACATTACATACGATACAATGTGTTCAATCTGACAGCATTTGATGCCAAACTGGGGTTGGCCAGGCATTTTAAGATCTAGATCCGGCCCCTGTTGAAGGGTCCCTAACATTGCACATGTACAGTTATATTACACTCATATTCAACTTTATTATATATAGTGTATATAGTTTTTATATCTTACATTTTCTCTGTTTTTTATTATATTTGCTCTTTGCACTACATTTCCCCTGTGCTGCTCTGCCAAACTTGAATTTCCCTTTACGGGTGATCAATAAAGAAACATCTTATCTTATCTTATATCTGAATGAAAATAAGGCAAAAACCAAGCTGTGTTTTGCATGTGGTGTGCAGAGTGTATAAATATCTCTGCATACTGGGATCCCTAAACAATAGTGGAATTGCCCAAACTGGGAATGAGTGGAAAGCTGAGCCCCATACTTCATGCCACTCCTGCCTAAGTGTGCCACCCCAGTCGAAAAAGTCTGACCTCGCCTCCGCCCTGACCTTTAGTTTGTTAAACCACTGATGTAGATTAATAACATTATATAAAGTAACATTAGCTTTAGAGTTATATCGATTGCACCTTTAATTACAGACTACAGCAGTAGCGACCCATACAAAGTTGAACTTCTGCACAATAAAGTTTAAACTCGATATGAAACTTCAAATCCCTCCAAAATAAAAGCTCAAGGCACCAACGTTACAGGTGACTCCTGTAAACACCTGTAACTTCTCAGTTTCAGTGTATGCTTCATATTAGTGCTGTGTGTGTGTGTGTGTGTGTGTGTGTGAGGTATAACCTTACCTGTGATGTTGCAGTTGACAGACGTTAACCTCGCAGTGAGGGTTTGTTTATTTCACCTCCCTGTAAAGTTAAAAACAACAACAACAACAACAAAGTGGCGTAAACGTCTTTCTGTTCCTCACGTCAGCTGATCCGACCGTAACAGGAAGCGATGGATGCTTCACAATAAAAGTCTCAACACGGCGATTCCGCAGAACATTTTACATTTTATTTGTGAAGGCACAGACAGGAAGTGTGATTGTGTATCGATTGACACTCAACTAAGGAAGACCAGAGGCCCTTTTATTTTATCAATACATTATAGTACAGCATCTCAGGAGAGGAGAGGAGAGGAGAGGAGAGGGGAGGGAGGAGGGAGGAGAGGAGGAGAGGAGGAGAGAGGAGGAGAGGAGGAGAGGAGAGGAGAGGAGAGAGGAGGGGAGGAGGAGAGGAGAG